CCCCAAAACCCCAAAACCCCAAAACCCCAAAACCCCTTGAGGCTACTATCCCATTGAAATATCCCAACTTTTCCTGAAGGATGGCAATTATTTCCTGATGAGAGCTTATTAGCCATTTCTGAGAGTTTTTGAGCTATGGACGCCTCTAAGATGGTATCAAAAACCCTCAGGATAACCTCTACAGCCTGCCATGGGTTCTTAACAAGCTGTTACGATGTCTCGAAGAAATGCATATGAAAGAATTTCTTAATTCTTCGCTCATATTTTTCAGAAAAAATTTAGAATAAATATTTTTTGCGAATAAAAATGTTGGTAATGTTGCTTTATTTGGATGTGGGGAGTTGATAACCATAAGCAAACATACATGCATCTTCTTAGAATTTAAAAGTATCTATAGACTGCGTGCTTTGTCTTACTTCTTACCGATCCCGCTTCTCCAAAGCCAAGAACTCAATTTCAAAAATTCTTCCTTATCAAAATGAAGCTTTTCAGACAAGATTTCTTGTTTAAAATTCTTCAAAAAATAAGAAATCTTTTGTAATAGGAATTTCTGCTCACTAACAAGTCTTCTTAATCCCTAAACACCCAGGATGGACCTTCCTGAGGTTTGGAGTCAGTCTCCTCTAATATAAAAGCATTAAGGAGCACGAAATTGCCTAACATTCTAATGTAGCACAGTTCTAAAGCCCCCTAATTAAATTAGATATTCTTTTTCTTGAGGAATCGAACAGCAATATCAATTTTACCAAGTAACTTGATTCAAGACTGCCCTTATAGATCATCATTTGCAGAATCTTTCTGAGCTTTTCTTGACATATATATGGAACACATCCCAAGAAGATAGAGCTAACCATAAGAAACACATGGAGAGTCATGAGCTGGTTTGAACAAGAGCGTACTCGAACATTAAGAAGACGATTATCTCTATTTCTAATATCCTTTCACGCTCTTTTGGAGTTCTTTAATCAAATTTCCTAATCGAATCAGAGCTATTTTGACTTATCTTTTCTGAATGAAGAGAATCGTTAGTTTAAATAATCTTGAGTGTCCAAAATATGGAAACAAGTGGTCCGGAAACGATATGGCACATTCATCCTTTAGAGAAGTTATGGATGAGTGATCTAGAGCATGCATCAAGGAGTCTTACGGCTTATAGACTTCGGTTAATTTCCAAATCGTGTAAAAACTAGTAATCGTTAAGAAGAGTTTAGGCAGAGTTCTTTCTATTATATAGGACACAAGGTCATAAGTTTGGAAGGACATGAGTGAGTTTTACTCAAAATAGGGCTCTTTACTTCTTTCAGGTAATGATTATCTATCAAAAACCTAGCATATAACCTTCGCACATATTGGAACATTTTTCATGGTTTACAGTTTTTATGAAGGTTGATTATAGGAGCTATTACGTTAGAACGGGTCAAAGAAGTTTATTTATCTCATTATATCCCAATCACGATAATAAGGATTTGTACAGCTTAGAGTGCCAGGAGGAATGATAGTATCCTTCTTAGTGCTATTTTTATGCAAGGCTAAATCTCTTAAGAGTCCAGCTTTATTAGCAAAGTTAGGTAAGTATTTTAAATTTACTTCACTTCTAAATTTTAATATTTCAGGTTTATTTCTAACCATGGTCGCAAGGATGAGTTAAGTCAAATACTTTTTAAGGCAAGAACCTGCTATTTATAGGATATAGCCTAGGTCAGCCAGAAGCGCTATATATTATTTTAGCCATATTTGTAGAACCTTAAATACAGTCGACAGCAACATTATAAAACCTTGTGTATCAATACCTATTGGAGAATTTAGTAGAGTTTTTACAAAGTTGGATTCTTCAATAACTCTTTGATAAATTAATAAGAAATTTATACTCCCATCAATATGTGTCAAGAGATAAATTCATGACTTATCATGCCTGAATACAAACCAAGCAGTGACAATATGAAAGTAAATTTGCACGGCTTACTTCATGAGGAAGAAATCTATACCAGATTTCATGAATATTTCAAATCTCAGCGGCCTTCCTTTACTTTTAAAGAGGTTGAGGGTTACAGAAAAGATCTTAATTTTTATGGAAAGTTCTTATTGGAGATCCCATCATAATTCCTTTGGAAAGAAACAAACTTGCAAAGTCAAAGTGCGAGACAAGGCTCTTATTGGTTCAGAAAGTAGTGTCGGTAATAATCACAGTTTATTTGGTATTAGACCAGATCAGCATTTTGTGTTAAAACTTATATACTAGTTATTCCTAACAGTGCTAAATTTTGATTCATTCTTGGATCATAATCTCTTCTGTGAGAAGTGTCTACACCGATACCTCTGATAGACCTTGGGTGACTTTCTCTCATGATTTGGCGAAGTAGGTCTCTCTTATTTCTTGTTTATGACTAAAGTTATTAGGAAATTATAGCTTTATAAAATACGAAAGAAGCTATGATATCCTGACTTATAGCAGCCAATTTCCAACTTTCTTGAGCTTTATCACTGCATTACTTCTGGAAAATTTAGAGTTTTAGAGATTTCGATCATTAGCATCAAGTTAGAATATGTTATTAAAGCTATTACGCAGTGATAATCCATTCATAGGAACCTCGGTAAGAAGGAATTGGAGTAAAAAATTAGAATCTTTGAAATAAGTCAAGGGATGCAACTTCGCATATTACTTCACTTTTCTGGCAGTAATTTAACATTCCTTCTTAAAGAATCTTCTTCAAACAAAAATTAGTTTTTAAGTTAGAAATATAACCCCAATTTGATGCAGATGGGTAATTTGATAAACTTAGATAGCAGTCGAATGCTTAAGAAGAGAAGAGACAAATTTGAGAGAAGAGGCAAGTTTGAGAGAAGGGGTTTATCCAAGCTTTTGCATATCAATGATTTGCAAGTATTCTTCAAATCTCCCACAAATTCTAAATTGGAATTTTATGAGATAACAACTTTTAAAGGATACGGAACAATTATCGCAAGATTTGCTCTTAAATTTATATGGGATAAATTGCATGATCATCTATCCTACCAAATCCCCTAAACCTCCAAATTCCCCTCTTCTCCCCTTTATTCCCTCCAAAACCCTTCTCCTCCCTTACTCCTTTCCCTATTTCAGTTATTAACGCATGGAAAAGGTGAGGTGCATGAGACTTTATGGTAAGCAGAGATTTGGATGAAGTAATAGGGCATAATTAGGGAGAATGAAGGTTTGGAGATTTGAGTAGTTTTTAGCCCCATTGAAGAGGCCTAAGAGCTCATTCCTAAATTCCAATAAAACATAGAGTTGGTAGAGAAAGATTTTTCCAATTTTTATGACAAATTAATCTGCTCTAATCCCATGTATCTTGAGCTTATGAATTTTGAGGTTGTACTTCTCTGTATATGCCTTAGGACAGATATTTCACTTGTACTTTCTTCTATCCACTTTTAAGTGAACTCTTTCATGCTTAGTTAGATTTCCATTCTGGGCGAAGCCTCTGCCACAAACCTTGCATTTAAATGGCTTTTCCTTAGTGTGAATTCTCAGATGATCAAAGAGATTCCAAGTTTTTCAGAAGCTTCTTCCTCAGCCTTCATAGCTGCACAAGAAGACTCTTTTCTTCCTAAATGATTATTAGAGGAGGGCTTACTTATCAAACTTCTCGGAGGGGATATAGGAGATATCAAAATCTTCCATGTTCGAAGTGAGACCGTACTGCTTCATCAGAAATCTCTTCTCTTCGTCAATATCATTTCTTGTAGGAGAATAGTCCTTCATCTCACGGACATCTCTGTACTTGTTGTTCCGTCTTTTGAGGGATCCTCCAGAGACCTTGATCTCATCGGTGGTTTTTAATACCTTAAGTCTATCTTCGTTTAACTTTGTAGCTTCTTTTGTCTCCTCAATTCCTAAGTTAGCACTCTGTTTCTTGATAGTGGAGTTATTGGGTCCTCAGAACTGTTGAGGAACGAAGGAACTTAGCTTAAAACAGCCCTTATTAGACAGATCTTTGCTAATGCTTGTCACTGGAGGTGGTAAGCAAATTCCCTTCTGATTTGATATAATCAGTTCTATATTTCGGTCAACTAAGCCATTTCTAATCCTTCATGAGGATATCTATTAAATGGAAAGTTTCATGAAATTCGAAATTAGAGTTATTGTTTTGAACTTGGGCACGGATATTTTCAGGTAATAGTCACCTCTATCACTTAATTCTATTATCTAATTCAGACACGATAAAATCATGATGGCTTCTAAGATCCAGTATAATATGTTATTTCTGAATATAATTTGAATTTAAGATTCGTAGAACCAGATTTTGAAACAATTACGGTCCTGACTTAATTGCACCCATAACCTGGTTTATGATATAATATGTCAGATATTGATTGGCCCATATTCCAACAATACTTTCATGATGCTTTAGCGATAACTAAGAGCTCATGACTAGTGAGGAAATTTCCCATAGGCATTTTAGAAAAGAGAACGTTCGGTTTTAGGTCATTTAGTTTAATAATCTATGCCTGCTTTATAAAACTCAGATGATTTAGCGGAAAATTTCCTAGGTTCCAAAACGAAATTTGATAAATTCTTAAATAACCTCAAAAAGTCATATGAAAGATCTTCTTGGCTTATAAAATTACAGACATACCACTTATAACACTTGGGAGCGCAAGAGTATAATCGTTCGAGATGGGCAACTCAATAGCGCCTGACTTATGCTTCTGTTTCTCTAAACTCATTTTTTCTATATCAAGATAAGAAGCATGTCAGGATCTAGTCATCTGCCTTAAGCCTGACGCCTAAATTGGCCTTCAGGAGTTATGAAATCCTTTCTTACTTTATGAAGGAAATGGAATTATATTATTATGCAATTCCTCTTTCAATACTTATATCTCGAATTGGGGTTTTGGGGTTTTGGGGTTTTGGGGTTTTGGGGTTTTGGGG